GCCAATGCCGCTGGCGCCGACGCTCGACCCGTCCAGCGTCGCAGTCCTTCTGTTATTCCTCCGGATGCCTCCGGCGTTGTTGGTAGTGGCGGTGTCCGTGGCGAATCCCTCGTTGTCGTCAGACGACGGTACGGCGGAGCTCATGCGGCTTGCAGCCGCCGACTCTCCTGCCGGTCCTCCTACTGCAGCAGCGGGTAACTCATCGGGGACTTCTTCCTCATGGAGCATGGCCCAGAGCCGGGCGTGCTCGGCGCGGGAGGCAGCCATGTCGACGCCCTCGGCCTCGGCCTGCAGGCGGTGCTCGGCGGCGATCTTGGCCCGCAAGGTCTCCTTGGCGCGCGTCGTGCCGGCGAAGTCGATGGTCGAATGGTGGATTGCCTCAAGGAGGTCGTGCTCGACGGCCTCGCTGTCGATGCATGGGTTTGGCTTTGTAGGGGGTGATGGTGGCGGCGAGGGTGATGGATTTGACATTACATTCCTCGTGCCTGGCTGTGAAGGTTTTATACTCGCCTCTGTGCTGCTGTCGTCGCAGTTGCTGCCTATTTCGCCGTCCCCTCGAACATCACGTGTTTGGCTTCCCTCGTCGGGTTCGGCTGGGCTAGCCTCATCCTCGCTAACCTCTAGGTCTTCTTCGTTGGAGTCCGACTCATCAGAGCTTCCGACAGGGTCTACATTTCCAGGAAAGCCGAGAAGCGCTTCGATCCTGTCATATGGGAGAAATGAAGAGCGTTCTTTCTCTGGCGGCTCGTCCTCAATATTTGCACTGTGGTGTTTCCCAATCTCATTGTCACCATAATCTTCTTCTTCCTCGTCTTCTTCGTCGCCATCGTCGTCGTCGTCGTCGTCGTCGTCGTCGCTGCCGCCGGAATCATTCTGCTCGGCCCATTCGCTTATGTCTCGGGCGTTTCCGTCATCATGTAACGATCCTTCCCGTTCTGTGCCTTGCCGCTTCACCTCTTGTTGGAATTGTTTATCAGGGTCAACGGCTGTGCTCTCGTCGTCGTAGACGTTCAGTCGAAGTCTTCGGGCCGAGGTCGCCCAGAACTTGCTACTGTCACCAGGCATCCCTAGAGACAATCTGGCCGCCTTGACATCATGGGCCTTGACAGATCCATGCTTCGTCTGCTTCCTCCGACGCAGGCGGCTGTTTGCCATGATCAGCGTGGTGGCCAGAAGTCGCCTCGTGACGCTCTTTGCCAGACTGTAAAAGTCCTCCAGCGCTGTCGCCCTTATGGCCGGCTTCTCGGGGCCTACAGACTGCCAGTTGCAGTCCTCGATGGCAGCGTTCATAAAGATATGCTCCGATAGGAGTAGCCATTTCCTCGTGATGAAGAACTCGCCAAACGTCTGGATGTCCGGATCATGCTGCTTGACCTGGTGCTCAAGGTCGCGTGCCACGGCGGGCGTGATGAGCCAAGGCGTGTCGCCCCATCTGTGCTCCTCCACGCCCTCCTCATGCGCCTCCTGACGGAGAGAGAGGTCGTCCGCGGCCGCGTCGAGCGCGTTGCAGGTGTCCTGATCCACCTCAATGGCGGCCGGATGGTCTGCTAGCGTGACCGTGGCGGAACGTCCCGCCTGGTTCTCGCGGCGATTGATGGCAGCATCCTGCAGCAGCATCAGATACTGCCTGACCTCGAGCACGCTCTTGGTGTGTACCTGTGCGGCGATACCCGGGAGGTCATCCTGGCCAAGGCGCGTCACGGCGGCAAACAGGGCATTCTTCTCGGCAGCACTCCAGTTGATGACTCCCAGTTGCGAGGATGCAAGTTTTGGATGAAATTCGTGGGGCTGCTTGCCGTTCACGTCGAAGACGAAGTTGTTGAAGAAGGCGAGGTATGCTGCGTTGAAGGCCGTCTTCTTCCGCTTGAGGGGGGCGTTGGGATCAGACAGCAGATCTCGGGCCTCGTAGCTACGGCGGCGTTTCCGTGGAGAAGGCTTGCCTTCTCGCTCCGAGCGGAGCTGCTGTTGACTCGCGGCCTCGACTGAGAGGGTTGGCCTCGGCCTCGCCAGTGCAGTTATGTGCGCTTCCGAGCTGCTGCTGTCATCCTGCGAGGTACCGGCTTCCGGAGGCCGGTAGTCGACGTCCATATCATCCAGATCCATGGCTATGAAATCGGCGACGATATAAGCTCAGCGGTAGTTGAAAGTGAAGGCATGACAGAAGTGTCGTCGAAGTGTCTGCAGGGAGCGGGCCCTTGAAGTCTTTCAACTGTCACCGTTGCTGTTTCCGAGCTAAGCACAGCCTGGAATGATTGTGACCCGCGGCTAATGGGATCCGAGGAAGTCTGTCTGATAGCTCACTTTGCAAGGCTCCAAGTCTCCTGCTGCGAGCTTTGAAGTTTGTTTTTGTCTTGTTCTGCTCTACTTGGCGGTACCAGCAACAAGAAGTCCAGCCCCAAACTCCACCTGACAGGGAGGGCACCTGCCTGCCTGCAGCAAGCGCTAGTCCACAGGCACGAGCATTAATGCACCATTATTCACCTTTTACTCACACCACACCAAGGCACCCCGAAGCATCACAGCAAAGAAGCATGTTGTGCCATGTTGCGCTCCGCTGTTGCGAAATGGCGTTGTGCCCGCCAGCTGCTGCTGCCGGCGCTGGCTGCGCCTCCATTTAGGCACATTCGCAGTTTCACCGGCAAGGTCCAGCTTCGCGACTACCAGGAGGAATGCATCCAGGCCGTGCTGGCCTCTTTCAAGCAAGGCAAGAAGCGGCTGGGTATCTCGCTCGCCACGGGTGCCGGAAAGACGGTTGTCTTCACGCAGCTCATCGACCGCGTCCCGGCGCTCTCGCCAGAGGCTACCCAGACTCTCATCCTCGCCCACCGCAGAGAGCTAGTCGAGCAGGCTGCCCGCCACTGCACAAATGCCTACCCAGATAAGAGGATCGAGGTCGAGATGGGCAACATCCACGCCACCGGCACCGCCGACATCACCGTCGCCAGCATCCAGAGCATCACCTCGGGCGACCGCACCGCCAAGTTTGACCCCCCGCGCTTCAAGCTCATCCTGGTCGACGAGGCTCACCACATCGTCGCACCGGGCTACCTGCGCCTGCTGGAGTATTTCGGCCTCGATGAGAAAAGGGATAGCTCTCCAAACTTGGTGGGCGTCTCTGCGACCTTCTCCAGGTTTGATGGCCTGCGGTTGGGTGCAGCCATTGACGAGATCGTCTACCACAAGGATTATCTTGACATGATCAGCGACAAGTGGCTCTCCGATGTCGTCTTCACTACCGTCGAATCCACCGCCGACTTGTCCAAAGTCCGCTCCGGGCCAAGTGGGGATTTTCAGGCGTCAGAACTGTCGCGGGCTGTCAACTCGGACGAGGTCAACGAAATTACAGTGCGTAGCTGGTTGGCGAAAGCCGCGGGCCGAAAGTCGACGCTCGCGTTCTGTGTCGATCTCGCGCACGTTGCAGGGCTCACGAAGGCGTTTCGGCAGTTCGGCTACGATGCTCGCTTCGTCACAGGCGACACGCCAAAGGTAGAACGGAGCGAATGCCTCGATGCATTCAAGCGCGGCGAGTTCCCCGTCCTGATCAACTGCGGCGTCTTCACAGAGGGCACGGATATCCCAAACATTGACTGCGTCTTGCTAGCGCGGCCGACCAAGTCGCGGAATCTGCTGGTCCAGATGATTGGCCGAGGCATGCGCCTTCACGCCAACAAGACCAACTGCCACGTTATTGACATGGTTTCCAGTCTAGCAACGGGCGTTGTGACAACGCCGACACTGTTCGGCCTCGATCCGGACGAGCTGGTCAAGGAGGCCTCGGCAGAGGACATGAAGTCCCTCAAGGACCGTAAAGATGCCGAAACACAGCGGGAAGATGAGGCATACCGCCTAGCCGGCAAGCCCTCGGGCAGTGAACGCCCGTTTAAGGGTAGCATCACATTCACAGAGTACGACTCCATATTCGACCTGATCTCCGACACCTCAGGCGAAAGGCACATCCGTGCGATAAGCCCCAACGGTTGGGTCCTGGTCGGGCAAGACAAGTACGTCTTGGCGGGCACGAGCGGGTTCCTGCGCATCGAGCGCGACGAAATGGCGCAGGAAGGAGAGCCGAGCTGGATCGCCCACGAGATCCGCGCGCTCCCGAAGACCGCGCAGACGAGGGCACCATACGCGGCGCCACGGAAGCTGCTAGATGCCGCGAGCCTTATCGACGTCGTGCACGGCGCTGATAAGTATGCCCTCGAGAATTACTCGCGCATCGTCATCTCGACTCGGCAGAGCTGGCGCCGCGCGCCAGCAACAGACAGCCAGCTCAAGTTTCTCAACAAGATCCGGGACCAGGATGCCCAGCTAACCGCCGAGTCGATCACAAAGGGGAAGGCGGCCGACATGATCACCAAGATCCGCCACGGCGCCAGGGGCCGGTTCGCAGCGTACTCGATTGACCGCCGGCGCAGAGAGCGGCAGGACGGGTCGAAGAAACGGGACCAGATGATGTCCGAGGCCGCTGGCGTCGGGCCACTCATAAGGTAATGCCACGTGCACCACCTCTATAACGTCATCACAAAGGACCGCACCCTGAGAACAGGGCAATAGAGATACCCTCACTCCACCACCATGTAGGATAGTGTATGCGACGAATATAGAGATGAACACATGTAGACGATGAATCACCCGGTCCTCTCTTGACTTTGTCCTTTCCAACCACACAGAGACTCGAAAAATGTGACTTGTGGTCAGGTACATGATGGAGAGTTTAAGCCAAATTTACAAAGCGAGCATCTATATCGTTACATGCAGCCCATCTAAAATTCGAGCGAAGACCTTTTGCTCCTCCCTCATCGCCGTCTTTGTCGACAACCCCCCTTCTCTAGTATCACAACAAAATGACTGGATCCGCCACTCACTCTATCTCCTACGGTCATGCGATTTAGATGACAGCGAGATAAAGGGAACGGGAAGTGTGAGAGAAGAAAGAAAAGAAAAACGATAGTATCATTGCCATGGTGACTTGATCAACCAAAGGCAAAAAGTAATCATGACAAGAAGGGGATTCGAACCCCTGCCACTTTCGTGACCAGAATAACACCTCTCCTGTGGGGAGAGACAAGCCTGTTACAACTTGAGTCTGGCGCCTTAGACCGCTCGGCCATCTTGCCTTATACGAAAACATGTCTTATGTCAGGATATATAGCTGTAGAAGTGGTATCGTGAAAAATCTTGCAAGTGCTTTCCTATCACCATCATGCCAGTCTCTCAGAGGGTCAGTTGAAGGGAAGCCAATCTCAAAAAGCTGCAAATAATGATTTTCAAATGATGTTCATTGCGGCAAATTATAAGCTATACGCGTAAAGGAAAAAAGAAAAACGATAAACATCATCGCTCGCTCGCTCGCTCGATGGAAATCCCAACTCTAGTAGCTTCTGATATTGCAATAGTGGTCGTGATCGTCAACAGCGTGATTTTTTCGTGCTTCGTCAACAGTTTGAAAAGAGTGTCTTCCTTGTCCTCATCTGAGGCTGATCCTGTCCTGTCTGTCCATGTTGTTATTCTGTCGTTCGTTCAGTTGCGCGTCGTGTTGCGCTCGTGTGTGCCAATGGCACGTAGGTTGTGGGCTACTTGTTTTGTCCCTTTGACTATGTCTTTAAATCATGCAAATGTGCGAAAAAAAAATTGCAGCCATCTCCATGGTGCGTAAAGAAGGTCTCATCACGATGGAGAAGGGACCTTGTGTGGAAAAGTCCCAATCTCGCCGTCAAGTCCATGTGGCTGTATTGCGTCTCCACGCTCACCCTGAAGAGGATCGCCTTCGTCATGGTACGGATCGAGACCTCGGAGAGAAGTCGATTTCTCATGAAAAGCCACGGATTCCGTAAACAAAGGCTGTCCTCCACGTGGCAAGGCTCGGAAAGTGAAATCAGAATTCCATCCTCCTTGTACCTTCCCCAGATCATCCAGCGCTTCTGCACAAGCTCCTTCCAGCATAAGCCCGCAAGAGTCGCCATCTTCGTCCTCGGACAGATCTACATAATCAGCCTGCGAAGCATTGGAGAACATTGCAGCGCTATCGTCTTTTCGAGCCCCGGGTGTTTCTAAGTTTGAAGGTGGGGCATCGTCAAGTCGCGATAGTAGCTTGCTCTGGTCTTTATGCTCTGCGCCGCCCAATTTCTCGGACGGGAACTGATCACGTAGCTGTGTCTGTGGAGTAAATGAGTCATCATGGTACGACTTTGTGCTTTCAGTGGGAACGCCAACTGCCTCGTTATGCAACATTGACTTTGCATTCGGGGGCATTACTTCCTCCTTCTGACTGTTACCGTCAGTGTCTAGAAGTTTGGCTTCGATTCCGCTAAGATTGTGTTCGAGTTGCTTCGTGATATTCTCCATGGTTGGGGTCTCTTGAGGCGTTTCAGCCTCATCATCCGTATGCTCTTCATCTGAAAGGGCAAACCTGGTGACAGGCCGCCCGAAGAATGACGCATCGAGTATGCCGCTTTTACCCGGCAGGGGACTGGGTGGAGACCTTCCACGGGGAGGATAGTAGGAGTCTTCGGAAAAGGATGGTGAAGCCGGAGCATCATATGCGTATGGATTCGACGTCCACGTGTATTGACGCTCGGCTGTCCTGATGCGGGGCCATTCGCTATCGTCGTTGTCTGCGACTTCGTAGCCGTGAACATTATCGTCTTCCTGGACCGAGATAGTCTGAGCTTCCTCGGGGAACTGCTTCAAAAGTTCCGCGGCCTGGAGTCTGCAGCGTGGATCTTCGTGAAGACAAGTGTGGACAATGCTGCGGTACCACTTGGGCACACCAATGTCGCCGCCGATCCTCAGTGGGCGTCTATGGGCTTCTGGCTCGTCTTCCATCGTAGCCAGAGCCCAAAGAACCATTCCCAGCTGGAAGAGGTCGGATTTGACACCAATGTACATTGAGATGCGTTGGTTGCAGTCAATCAGAGGAGTCACCTCTGGGGGCTCCCATCCGACAGGGCAGCCTCGTCTGTTGATGTCGATGATCTTGGCGTTCTGATCGTCGTCAATGACAATATTCGAGAGGGTGAAATCTCCCTGAACAAAGCCTGCTTCGTGTACATCAGAAAGTCCTTGGACGATCTGCCTGGCCCATCGCTGCTTGAGCTGCCAGTCAATCGATCCGCCGGATTCCGCTGCATGGTAGATGACATCCACCAAAGCGCCCTGCTCTGCAAAGTCGATGAGGAGGCCTTTCACATGATCGGCATCGTCAACGACTACACCGTAGAACCTGATGATGTTGGGAGAGCATCCAAGAGAGCTGAGTGCGTTGACCTCGTAGAGGAACTCGTCGACAGTGTCCGGCCCGGGAATCTCCTTCTTGATGAGGACCCGTCCGTTGTGTTGCACTTTGTAGACGAAGCCCGACATGTGCGAGTCGAATTCCAGCTCGCGCTCGAGGACACGTTTGCACTGCAGGTGCTCAATGTTTTGCACAGTAGGATAGTGAATGATTTCCTGTGAGGGTAGGGTTAGTGTCGCCCTTGCTTTATGAGCCCCGCTGGCCTCCAATCAAACTTACGTTGACATCTTCCACTACGTGAACATGGAGTCTACCATCGGTGGTCTGGAGCTTGAGGTTGGTGACCGTCTCGTAGAACTGAATATCTTGCAGACTTTCACGGATGGCTTCGTATATCCTGGAGCTCTTGTCGCGCTGGTACTTGGCAACGGAGAGGTCCTTTTCAAGCGAGTCGTCGGGGGCATTGCGGTAGTCAAGCGAGATGGTAACACGGCGCCAAACATCGTCCTTCTCATGGTAGGTGACGAAGAACTTCTCGCGTTTCGATCTGTCGCGGAAGTGCATGCTGAGGTTCAAGATCCACTTCGTCTCAAGTTCGTGCTTGAGCATGCTGTCGTACACGGAGCTTGTGGTGGAACGAGCATCGGCAGTCGAAGGTGCCGCCGAGTGAAGTGGCGGCTGCTCCTCCTGTCCCTCCATTTGGGTGTCATGTTGAGCCGAATGAGCATCATGCTCCACTGGCCAGCCATAGTCGTGGTCGATGGGGCTCGGCGGTGCTGCGACTGCATGGGCAGGAAACATGTGGGACACGGGGGGAGGCTGCACGGCGCCTAGGAAGTCCGGCGCACTGGCACGATGCTGGCTCACTGGTGAGAGCGAGCGTTGCGAGCGTTGGGGCCGCACTCGCCTGTCGACCGAGGCGGCTCTCCGTTCCGCCTGGGTTGGCTCAGTTGGCTCCAGTCTGGTTCTGTCCTCAGACTGCTGCCTTTTGAACGTCTTGGCCCGTGGCAAGCCAGGAACGACCTTTCGGGAGACCCGTCTCATAAGAGCCACCGCAGCGGCAGGCGAGGTTGGGCGTGAGGAGGGGGGGCTCGCCGGCGGCGTGTTGATGGGAGCCGCCGAGCCCTGGTCCTTGCCGAACACCTTGCGCCAGATGTGGGTGAACTTGCCCCCATCTCGAGGTGGAGAACCGCGCACGGGTGCGTCAGAGTGCGCAGCCATCTTGACGACAGTCTGGCGATACCAGCGGCGGATGGATGAGAGGCGCATAAACCACGACCTCTGCGAAGGGCAGCGACGGCTGCTCGGCGGGCAGGGTCAGCCCGGCAGCAGCAACGTGGCTGGGAGAGAAGATGCCGTGGCGGTGTGGAGTGATATGGTCACCGTCGAGTTGCCCCGAGGCCACCTGTCTGAATGAAATGATGCCGGAGGGCGGGATCCTGGAGTCGAGGTTGTGTGTAGTGATGATGAGCTGAGGGGGAGAGAGCAAATGTTTTTCGAGTGAGGTTGAGAGAGAGCCTGGCGGGAGAGAGAGAGAGAGATGCTGACTGCAGGACAACGCCGGGGTGGGCTTCATAGATCAAGCATATCTCGAGGACATGCAAGACGCAGCAGGCTGCGGCTGATGGGTCCGCACGATGTGATGGCCAGAGGGCAAGGACACTCGGGAGCAGCGAGCACGGAGCGGAGAGGAAGTTATTGGCCGGCGTGGACAGGCGTGGACGGGCGCAGCGATGATGCGGATGGCGCTGCTCGTGAAGCCCTGGGCGAGCATCAACGAGTACCGTCCTGCATAAGGTGGGAAGGAGCGGCAGGGCAGGAACCTTAGCAGGGGGCCAGGGCGCCTGCCTGAGGCCGGCAGGGGCCTGGATAGCCGAGTGACATCCCATGCTCGAGTGACATCCCATGACATAAGTGGAACCCGGCCGTCCAGTCACCACCACCTGCACCCAGCTCGACGTGCACTTGCACCCGCGCTTGCATTTGCAGTCACAATGCGGTGCCGTCAAGCCCCTCCGCGGGTCGGGTTGCTCTTGCCCTTTTCGATGCCGTGTGGATCCTGCCTCTTGTCTCTTGACTCTCGACGGCCGACTCTCGACTCGACTCGACTCGACTCGACTCGACGCAGTCCGAGGCCACTTGCACTTGCACTTGCTTGCACGCTGCCCTTCGTCACAACCACTCGAGCTGGACCACGATACCGCGGATCACGCACAGGCGACTCCTCCCTCTTGTTCCGTTCGGCGGCGGCGAGCCCGCCATTCGACGCCGCCAGAGTTCGGGTGCCGTTGCCAGCAGGCTCCCACTCCCACTCCCACCCCCACCCCACCCCTGACACAATGCCCTTCCAGAACAGCACCCGCACAACGCAACGCCTCTTGCGGTGAAGCAGCAGCAGCGCCCAATCCCCAGGGCACGAAAACGGCCGGAAAACACCACGCCTTTCTCTTCGCGGTCTAGTTCATGCCATATGGCAGGCCCGAGCAGACCCCGGGCTCTGCGGCCTCTCCCGCTCCACTGCAAGCCCGGCGCCCGGCTGCGTCGAGTCTCAACTCGGATCGCTGTTGCGCTGTGTTGCGTTGCGTTGCGTTGCGTTGCGTTGCGACGCTGTCCTCTGCTGTCCTCTGCTGTCCTGCCCAGGTGTCGAGGCACTTGTGCTTTGCAAAGTGTGCGTGCGTGCCTTGTGACGCCATAAAGTCTCGTCCGTCATCAGACTTTGTTCTCACAAGCGCGCCAGCGCACATGGCACAGCAACGAAATGGACGCCGTGATTGGTGTTCCGACTCTGACAACTTCGCAAGGGTCCAGCGGCGCTATTCCTGCCCAACGGGCCGCCGGCCAGTGGTTGACACAATTGACACGACCCTGTTGTGCGAAACCTGT